TCAGGTTTATCTCCAAGGAACAGCCCCTCCTAGCAACACAGTTGACATATTTGAAGTGTAACTTTACCATCTTTGCCTCCAAAGAGCACTCTGACTGCACTTTCTCCAAGACACATTTCTTTGTTTTTTTGGCCTTCCATGAGATGTTCAGCACTCTTCTCCAACACTACTGCTTAAAGATGCATTTAAATTCTTCTTCTGTCCAGCTCCCAGATGTATAGCAAGGAACCAGAAAGACCATGGTGTGAATTGGACACATGTTATTCCTCAAACTGACATCATTACTCCTCAATGATTTCGAAAGGTCCTGACTGCAGACTTTCCCAGTGTAATATGTCTCCTGATTTCCTGACAGCTAGTACCAAGGAGTGTTGATTGTGGATCCAAGAAAGATGAAGTTGTTGACAGCTTTATTCTTTTCTCTATCATGACGTTACCTGTAGGTTCAGGGGTAAGAATTCTTGTTTTCTTGACGTTGAGATGTAATCCATATTGAAGGCTATATTCTTTGATTTTCTGCAACAAGTGCTTCGAGTCCTCCTCACGTTTAGTAAGCAAGGTTTGGTCATCTGCATAACACAGGTTATTGATGAATCTTCATCTAATCTTGATGCCACATTCTTCTTCATAGAGTCCAGCTTCTTGAATAATTTGTCCAATATACAGATTGAATTGTTATGGAGAGAGAATACAACCCTGATGCACTCCCTTTTAAATTTTAAACTGTGTCATGTCCCCTTGTTCTGTTCATCCTACAGTGTCTTGGTCCAGGTATAGGCTTCATATGAGCACAATTAAGTGCTCTGGGACTCTCATTCTTCTCAATATTAGTCCTAATTTGTTATGATAAACACAAATGTATTTGCATAGTCAATAAAGCATAAATAGACATTCTTCTGGTATTCTTTATTTTCAGTCAGGATCTGTCTTGCATCAGCAATAATATCCCTGGTGCCACAGCCTCTTCTGAATTCTGCTTGAACAACCTGTTATGCATGGTCAAGTTGGAACTAACTCATAGCCTATCCTTCAGTAGCTTTTCAAAGGTTTTAAGTTGCAAAGGAGGAGATTTTCCAGCTCTCTCCCATGGAGAAGCCAGTGGATTCGAACTACCTGCCTTTTGGTTAGTAGTTTAGCACTAGATATAAGTGTAAGCACCAGGCCACCAGAGCTCCTGTGACTAGTATAGAAAAAACACATGTTGTTGTTGTTAAGTGCCGTCGAGTCATAGATGACTCATAGAGACCCTTTGAACGAAAGACCTGAACGCCTGCATAACTTTCATCATTTCTCCAAGTTCATAGAGTTTCCAGATGCAAACTATTTCGAAAATGGATGCCACTCCTGCTTCCAAACTTGTTTTAATCAGGGAGCTCCACCAAGGGTAACCATTTTTGCATTTTACACATCAGTGTCACAGTGTTTAGCATCACAGAAAATGCAATATATGATTAGACACTTAACAACAACAAAAATAAACAGCAAAAAAAACCCATAATAATAACAAAACTGAACTAAAAAACCAAAACAACACCCAAGACCTCCAATGGAGCTGTTTACTACTGGGTTTGTTATGAGTTAAAAATCAGTTGACAGTACCAAACATATTCAAGATGGTGAGGATGACACAGGATAGGACAGAGTTTAAGTCTGTTGTTCATAGAGTTACCAGGAGCCATACTCTACTCAATGACATCCAACAACAACAAAATCAGGCCTCTCTCCAGGGTAGTCATATAGGACCCACCCCCCTCACTTGGAAAGCAGGATAGTATTCTGACAAGCAAGATAGTCAGACGTTGGACAAATTCCTACACTTCTGTGTCTCAGGATTCCAATTTTCTTTGCTTATTATGTGAAAAAGGAAAAGTCCAGAATCCCTGGGCTCCTGTCCCTTAATTAACTCAGTGTGTATTTAGTATAATATGCTTTAACCAATATGATTTAAATTTTTCACATATGAATATATCTGAGAATTTGAAATTGCTGACTATAAATTATTATCCATTTTTATGTTTTCTTTGTTGTTGTTGTTATGTGCCGTCGAGTCGCCTATGACTCATAGCGACCCTATGTACAACAGCCCTAAACTCCAATCGCACCTTCTCTGACACTCCCATCCCAATTATCCCAGTCACTGAATCAATCCACCTCATAGAGGGCCTTCCTCTCCTGCGCTGTCCCTTCACCCTCCCAAGCATGATGTCTCTCTCCAAGGACCGGTCTCTCCTCACAACATGTCCAAAGTATGTTAGACGGAGCCTCAGAATCCTTACCTCCATGGGAAAGTCTGCTGTTAGGGCCCTCTCCAAAATACTGAAGAGCAATGGTGTCTCTCTGGAGACTAAGGTGCGTCTGATACAGGCCATGGTCTTTGCAATCACCTGTTATGCATCAGAGAGTTGGATAATGACCAAGGAGGATAGAAGGAGAATTGATGCCTTTGAGCTGTGGTGCTGGAGAAGAGTATTGAGAATACCACGGACTGCTAGGAAAACAAACAGATTTGTCCTGGAAAGGGTTAAACCGGGTGGCTCCTTGGAGGATATGTTATTGTTGTCATGTGCCATTGAGTTAGAACTGACCCATAACTGATCCTCTAATGGGTTTTCAGTGGCTGTAAATCACATGAGAGATTGTCTATCCTTCCCTGGAGGAGCAGCTGGTGGATTTGAACTGTGTGACCTCAGGATTGCCATTCAGCTTCTCTAGGGTATAGATTACCGAATTTAATTAAAAATGTTATAAACAGTGATTAAATGGCTAGTCAAAGCTAAACCTAACCATCCTTTCCTGTGAGGACTCTGAAGATATCATCCTCAAGAGCCTCTCAGGAAACAGCACATCACCATCTTTGGAGAGGTTGCTGGGTAAAACACAATACAAATCCCACAGTGCCTTGGGTAACTGTCTACACACCACATCAATCCTCTCATCTTGGGATCAGGAATTTAAGTGGAACCATAGCACAAGGTGGGAAACACGAGGTGCCTAACTAACCAGAAGGTTGAGAGGGAACAAAAACATTCACCATGAAGTAAGAAAGTGCTAAGGACTTGGCACTGATATGTGTGGGAAGCACAGAACTAAAATTCCTCTTCGAGATTAGAGGAAGCTCTGGGGTTATAGTGTTGTACATGTGAGTCATATTGTACTGTTAAAAGGTATGCCATTTGACTTTACCAGTTCCTCTTCAAGAGAAAGATGGATGGCCAATCTCCTTCTGTAAAGATTTACACCCTTGGGAATCTGGTGGAGGCCTATTAATAAATCAGATTTGACTTGATGGCAGTAAATTTTTTTTTCCTTTTTACAGACTGTAGCCAACACTTCTTATTAAATTTTAGGCTGTTAAATTTGGCCACAAGTTTAACAAAAATTGTGTATATCTTCTCTACTCTCCTCCCAAGAGTCCTATCCCTCTGAAAAGAAAGATTTCTAACATTTTGAGCTTCAGAAACTTCCTAGAGAGTCCCTTTGGATCAGCCAAAGTCCTTAGTATGTCTTTAGCTGAAGCCAACATGACATCATACCTCAAAATTCTTGTAAATGTTCTACCAGTTTATGAATGGCCTCTGAGGCCTTCCTTTCTAATCCACATCGGCCTTACCTCAGTATTTTCTTCTTAGTACTTAATTTTTTATCATTAGGTGAAAGTTTACATGTGGATTTGACAGTTCTAAACTGCTCTGTCCATACCTGCTCCAGGATCCTCTAGTCATTCTCTGGAGAAGTCACAGTGGTTTCTGGAATGACAGAGTCAGGAGAAACGCCAAGACATTTGCCAGCATGTTTCTTCTCTCTCATCCTCCACCCAAAGTCTCGTAGGCCTAATTAAACCCATCTTATCACAAGAGGCCTCCTCCCAGCAAAGCATTCCATGTTAGCTTTTGGAGTTCTTTCCAGGCCAAAGGGAACAATTTCACAAATCTCATTCAGTAACCTTCCAGCTGCTCTCAATCACTTACTGTTGATAAGAAACTAGGCCAAGAGGGTGGCTCTTGGAAGGTGAAGGAACTTTTTCTGCTAAATATATTCCATGAATTCCATAATGCCTTTTTAAACAAATGCAGACAGGCACTCCCAAGATGAATTAATAGGCTCTGAACTCCTGATACCAGCCCTAACCAGTGTTAACTAACACTATTTTCCATGACCTTCATTTAATCAACTCAAACTCTTGGAATTGTATGGATAATAGGCAGAAGTGTTGCCTAGTCTTGATACCATCTTCAACATTAATATCAGACAGTAAGTATTTTGCTGTGATCTGTGGCGCATGTTTAGAAGTAGATAACCAGGCTACTCTTTCTAATAGTCTGTCTTAGTTTAGAAACTCTACCACAACCTGCCACCATGGGTGACTCTGCTGGTATTTGAAATATCAGTGGCCTAGCTTCCAGCTTCAGACAAATACACAAGTCACCACAGTACAAATAACTGGCAGAGGGGTGTGGTGGCTGGCTGACATGTTTGACGCCAACTCATAGAACTCATTAAAAAGGCACTTTGTTTTATCCGTTGGTCTCAGTCTATAGTTTTCTTACAGGATTGAAATGAATTGAGATCCTTCCCTCCCTAGACTACCCAGTGGACTTTTTTTCTCATTTTTTTCTATTTCTCTGAACCCATCATAATCTGAAGAGGCTCTCAGGTGGGACTATGATACTGTACGGGTCAAAGAAGAAGAGGAAAAGGAAGAGGGGAGAGAGTAGCTTCACATCCCTGTCAGAGGATGTGGAGAGGGAGAAGGAATAGAAGTACTTTATCAATACTTCCTACCTCCTCACATGTAGGAGCCAAGGTCACTGTCAACACCAACCCTTCCCTTCTGCTATGTGGTCCTCTCCCCTGCATCTCCCACCTCCCAGGAGGTGGAGCACGTGGTTATAGAGCCAGGTCAGTATGTGTTGGCTGCTTGGGAAATCCTCCAGGCACAGGAAAGAAGTGGAGTATTGTCAGGAGGTGTCATATGAGACACCGGTCTCACCTTTGTAAACACACCTCTTAGGCTGGTTCAGGTCCTTCAGGTGCAGATCTTGAATGAGGTAGTCAGCGATTCGCACGCTGTTGCTCTGAGCTGCAAAGTGGAGAGAATTCATTCCTTCCTGAAGAGAGCCAGGAGTGAGGGAGATGCTTATTCAGTATCCTCCGAGCCTCTCCACTCCTGTGCTGGTGAGGTAACAGCTTATGTCCAGGTGTGACCCACATGCTTACCTGATTCTTGGCTCTCTGGTCCACACCAGCTTTCACTAGCATGAGCATGATCTCAAGACTTTCAGACCAGGCTGCCAGATGAATTACTGTTAAGCCGTGCTTCTCCAAGAAGAGAAGAGAGAAGAAAAGTCAACACTCAGATGAGCTACAACATACTACCTCAGTCAAGGCCAAGTTAATCCTTGATTTTGGGAAACTAAGGAATACAGGAAAAAGCTAATATATATTATATGTTGTTGTTGTTGTTGTTGTGTGCCGTCAAGTCGCTTGCGACTCACAGCGACCCTATGTACAACAGCCCTAAACTCTGCTCTGCCCTGTGCCAATCGTACTGTCTCTGACACCCCCATCCTGATTACCCCAGTCACTGAGTCAATCCACCACTGTCCCTCCACCTTACTAAACATGATGTCCCTCTCCAAGGACCGGTCCATCCTTAAAACATGTCCAAAGTATGTTAGACGAAGCCTCAGAATCTTTGCTTCCAAGGAACCGCCCTGTTTTACCCTTTCCAGGATGAATCAATACTCTTCTCCAGCACCACAGCTCAAAGGCATCAATTCTCCTTCTATCCTCCTTAGTCACTGTCCAGTTGACATTAAGCCTCATATGACACCTCTGATGCATAACAAGTGATAGCAAAGACCATGGCATGTATCAGATGCACCTTAGTCTCCAGGGAGACACCATTGCTCTTCAGTACTTTGGAGAAGTCCCTAACAACAGACTTCCCCATGGCAATACGTCTTTTAATTTCCTGGCTACTGGTGCTGAGGGTGTTGACTGTGGAGCCAAGCAAACTAAAGCTGTGAACAATCTCAGTCTCTTCACCATCCATCTTGATGCTGCCAATTGGCCCAGTGGTGAGAATCTTTGTCTTCTTGACATTAAGCCTCAATCCATATTGTAGGCTACAGTCCTTGACCCTCTGCAGCAAGCGTTTCAGGTCCTCCTCAGTTTCAGCAAGCAGGGTTGTGTCATCTGCATAATGCAGATTGTTGATGAATCTTCCACCAATTCTGACACCACACTTCTCCTCATAGAGCCCAGCCTCCCAGATAATCTGTTCTGCATACAGGTTGAAAACGTATGGAGACAAGACACATCCCTGGAATATGCCCTTCCCAATTTTGAACCATGCAGTGTTTCCTTGCTCTGTTCTGACAACTGCCTCTTGGTCCAAGTATAGGTTTCTCATGAGCATGATCAAGTGTTCTGGGATTCCCATTCTTCTGAGAGTCAGCCACGGTTTGTTATGATCCACACAGTCAAACGCCTCTGCATAGTCAATGAAACACAGATATACATTCTTCTGGTGTTCCCTGCTTTCAGCTAAGATCCATCAAACATTAGCTACCAACATCCCTAGTCCCACGACCCCTTCTAAACCCAGCCTGAACTTCTGGCAGTTCTCTGCTGATGTGCTGTTCCAGTTGTTTTTGGGTAATCTTCAGTAGAATCTTGCTTGCATATGAAATCAACCATATTGTTTCTATAGTTTCCACAGTCTGTTGGGGCACCCTTCTTTGGAATGAGAACAAATATAGATCTCTTCCAGTCATATAGCCAAGATAATATTTCAGTTCTGAGATGGAGCAAGGTAGGAAATGAATGTCTGGAAGAAAACAAAATTGAGGAAAATCCTCCACAAGATGGACTGACACAATGACTGTAACAATGGGCTTGAGCATGTCAGAGGTCGTGAAGATGGCATAGAATAGAGCAGGCTGCCAATCTGCTGTTTGTAATGTTGCTATAATCACAGTTGACGCAATAGCACATAATCACCACATATCCTTTATATATATAACATTATTCTATAATAGTTTTGTCTTGGAGATGGTGAAACCAAGTCTTTCCTTGGAGGCTAGGATTTTGAAGCTCTGCTTCCCTTACTTTGGGCATGTGGCCAGGAGAGATCGGTCTTTGGAGAAGGACATTATACTTGGAAGGGTGGACAGACAGCGCAGGAGAGGGAGATCCCAGATGAGACAGATTGATACAGTAACTGGGGAAATGAATGGGGGTTGGTGTGTCATCCACCTCCTAAATGACATGCACCCAGAAACTCTGTGAAATTTGATTAATGCCAATAGTTTTCGAGGGGCTTCAGGCCTTTTGTTCATAGGGTCACTATGAGTCATGATCAACTCAAAGGCAATCAACAACAACAACAACTATGTGTGTGTGTGTGTGTGTGTGTGTGTGTGTGTGTGTGTGTGTGTATACACACCATTATCTACCCACCTCCACAAACTAAACCCACTTTTACTGAGTCAATCTTAAGTCATAACTACCTTACAGCACATAAATATCTCATATAGTTTCTAAGGCAATAAAACACTAATAAATATCCTGTATTTTCTGCTTTCAGCCAAGATTCATCTGACATCAGCAAGGATAGCCCTTGGCCTGTTCTGAATACAGCTTGACTTTCTGGCAGTTTCCTGTCAAGGTACTGTCCTAGCCATTTCTTAATACTCTCCAGCAATATTTTACTTGCATGGAATATTGATATTCTTTGATAATTTCTACATTCTGTTGAATCACCTTTTTAGAAGAATGGGAATAAATATGGATCTATTCCAATCAGTTATCCAAGGAGCTGTCTTACAAATTTTGGTGAGCCATCTGTTTCCTGAAGAAGCACAACCAGTATTCTATCAATTACTGGGGTCTTTTTTTTTCTTTTTTGTGAATGCCTTCAGTGCAGCTTAAATGTCTTCTATCTTTATCATTGGTTCTTGATCATATATATGCTTCTTCCTGAAAAGGTACTGTGATGACCAGTTCTTCTTGGTACATTAATTGCGTATTACTTCCATATTAATTTAATGCTATTTTGCCCATAGAATCCTTAGGCATTACAATTCCATATTTGAATTTTTTTCAGTTCTTCCAGCTTGAAAAATGCTGAGCAAATAATTTGAGAAGCTGGACTAGATAAAGAAGAATGTAGCATCAGGATTAGGAGAAGATATATCAACAATCAAGGTAACACAGATGACACACTTTGCTTGCAAAAAGTGGGAAGGACATAAAGCATTTATTGAAGAAGATAAAAAACCACAGCCTTCAATATAGGTTACATCTCAACACCAAGATAATAAAACTTCACCACCGGGCCATACGGAAATATCATGATGTTGTTGTTATGTTATGTGCTGTTAAATGGGAATCTACTCAGCTAACCCACAAGGGTATTTTCAAAGACTGTAAATTGTCCAAGAAGAGATTGCCCATTTTCCTCCCATGGAGCAGCTTCTGGATTCAAACCCTCCACTTTTTGGCTTGACAGTACTACTTCTTATCCACTAGGCTACCAGGGCACTCTAATATCATGATTGTTGTTGTTGTTGTTGTTATGTGCCATCGAGTTGCCTGAGAGTCATAGAGAATCTATGTACAATAGCTTTGAACCCTGCCCTAGTCTGGACCTTTATCACTGATTCTGACACATCAGTTACTGTGTCAATCTATCTCATCTGGGGCCTTTCTCTCCTGGGCTGTCCCTTACCGTTCCAAGTATGATGTCTTTCTCCGAAAACTTGTCCCTACAGGCCACATACTGAAAGTATATGAGATGGAGCTTCAAAATTTTTGCCTCCAAGGATAAACTTGATTTCATCCTCTCCAGAACAGACCAGACCTGTTTGTTCTCTTGGCAGTCCATGGTATGTTCAATAGTCTTCTCCAACAATTCAGATGCACCAATTCTTCTTCTGTCATCCTTATTCATTGTTCAGCTCTCTAATGTATAGTAAATAGTTGCAAAGACCATGGCCTGAACCAGGCACACCTTACTCTCTGGACTGACATCACTGCATTTTACTACTTTGGAGAAGTTCCTGACAGCAGACTTCCCCAATGCAATTTGTCTTTTGATTTCCTAACTGTTACTGCCAAGAGGGTTGATTGTGGAGATGAGCAAGCTGAAATTGCTAACAACCTCAAGCTCTTCTCCATCTATCATGGTGCTGCCAGTGGGCCCAGTGGTGAGAATCTTTGTCTTCTTCATGCCGAGCTTCAATCCACATTGAAGACTACAATCTTGACCTTCTGCAATAAATGTTTCAGGTTCTCCTCAGTTTCAACAAGCAAGATTGTGTCATCTGTATAACGTAGCTTTTTGATGAGTCTTCTTCCATTAATTTCTTAAAGGGGGAGGGAATCATGATAGATGGATAAAATATATAAGTTGTCAACTATTTCATTTTATCTGGATCCACAATTAATAGCCATGATAGCAGTAGTCAATAAGTCAAAAGATGTGTTGCATTGGGAAAATGTACTGTCAGAGACCTCTCTAAAGTTCTAAAGAGCAAGGATATCAGTTTAAAGACTAAGGTGTGTTTTGATCCAAAACATATGTTTGATTGCATCTGAAAGTTGGACAATGAATAAAGAAAATGTAGGAAGCCCTGGTATTTTCGAATTGTGGTGTTGAAGAAGAGTACTAATTATCCCATAGACTGCAAAAAGAAACAAATTTCTTTTGGAGTAAGAACAACCATAGTGATTTCTTAGAGGCAAGGAGAGTGAAAGTTTGGCTCTCATGTTTTGAATATGTTTTCAAGAGGAGCCAGTCCGTGGGAAAATATACAGTGCTTGAACAGAAGGGTCAGAAAAAGAAAGGAATATCTTCAACAAGATGACTACCACACGGGCGTGGGTATGACAGAGACGGTGAGGACGGCACAGGACAGAGCAAGGTTCAGATCTATTGTTCATAAAGTCTATATGAGTTTTAGTCAACCTGACAACAATAATAACTGTAAGCTATATTTGCAACCTGGGAAAATAGTTGCTAGGTATATACAGTATGAGCAAATAAACAAGGGAAGAAAAGCCACAGAACACTTTCATTTCTTTCATAGCATGTATATTGCCTGATTTCAAAATAGAATTAATGTAAGAGTCTTGAACATACCACGGACTGCCAAGAAACAAATGGGTCTGTCTTGGAGAGGGTGATACCAAGTTTCTCCTTGGAGGCTAGGATTTTGAAGTTCCATTTCACATACTTTGAGCACATGGCCAGGAGGAACCAGTCCTTGCAGAAGGACATCATGCTCAGAAGGGTAGATGGACAGCACAGG